ATGAACCAAGAACCGAAGTTAAATTTGTTGCCATTCGACGTGAAACAACATTGATTGGGTGAAGTCCGAGGCTGTCTCGTGCAAGAAGAGCTCTAGACGGCCATAAATCCAAACCAGACCCTCAGACGATGATCTGTTCGAAATAACTACTACCAGCCTCACCAGACCTACTCGTGCTCACTCTGAAGCTCGCAGAGCCCTGACAAACGAACGGACTCACGATTGCCCCTTGCATGCCATCTTGCAGTGCCACGATCCCAAGCTGGTTGTCAGTTTCTGGGCCTCAATCCAGGAGCTATTCGGGTTGAAAGGCTCACTACGTTCCAGAAATGAAGCTGGAGCAAGATGATGACGAGAATTCGTAGGGCCGTCTGCGATCCGGTTCCAATCATGTTGTAAGGGGTCATGCGACGGAAAAGATCAGCTTTGTTGACCGTGGCCGCCGTCTTGGGGCTTCTTACATCTTGAGAAGTACTCTCATCTTAGCAGTCAATTTGCATGTCCGGTCAATTTGCATGTCCGAGAATCGAGGTAATACGCATTGTTTTCTGGCCTGAGGGAAAAGAGACGCCAAGATATGCAGTTACTGAGGATGGAAGGAGGCCCAAACCAGTGTGTCATTGATAACACAAGAGATAATCCGGCTTGAACAATATAAAATCTACATCTGCACAATTGACATGTCCCAAAGGGACACCATCCAAAGTCAGCTGACGCACACCTTACGCGAAACGATAACCAAGGTCAACCAGCGTCTCCTCTTTCCGATCCAATCACCCTTGTTAGAATGAATTTCTGGGTAAAGTCTCTGGGAAACGCAGAGGAAGTGAGCGAAAATTTTGAACGACTGAAAAGAAAAAGTCGACTTTTTCCTGGTGTTCAGAAACAAACGAAAGTTGAAAGTTGAAACCGATGCCTGGCACGGACGAAAATAAAATGGTGGCAAACTCCGTCCATTCTCAGCCTTACCCGTAAGCCCCTGAAGATCTTCATTCCAACTGCTCTTTGTTCGCTTCAATTTCTTTGTTCATTGTATCATCAACTGTCCTCCCCTTTTGCTTCTGCTTTTTCGATTTCTCAGATCAACAGAGTACAGGTACTCTTGACCATTGTAAACACGTTTACACACCGCCTCTGACTCCTCCTTTGTGTACGTCTTTCGCCAGGATGCCACTCCTTCTGCCTCGCGATGGCGACCCCAACTTTCACTCTTTCTCTACCGTCTACGAACACGGCCAGGTAAAATCAGGCTGGGCCTTTTGCATGTCAAAAGCCTACTGCAAGTATGCAAGACCTTCCTTCCCCCTTCTTCTGTCCTCCACCGTAACGAATCTCTACTGACATTCGAAAGATGGCCTGCCATCGCCGGCATAGTCATCGGTATCATTGTCTTTGCCCTCGCTGCCTACTGCTGCTTCCGCTGCTGCTGTCGCGGCGGCCGCCGCTCACGTCGCAACCGTGCTGGCACAGCTTCCATGTTCAACCCAGCTCCTTACATGGGCTATCAGCCCGCCAACAATCCCAACAACGCCCCGCCACCTTATGGTGAACCTCCGCGCTTTGCGCAGTTCGATGTCGGAGGTCGTGGCAAAGCAGTGAACGAAGACAGTCTACCTGCAATGCCGAGTTGGGAAAATGCACAGAAGAAGCATGTCGAAGAAGATGATGTAGAGATGTCACGTCTGGAAATACCACAAGAAAAGAACCCCATGCTAGCGCCTGGAGCCAATGCTTCAGCCGCGGACTTGTCAAATCCAAGATTTGGCTACTCCGAGGCAGATTCACCTCTTGTTGGCCCTTACGGAGCGCATCACGCACAAGGACAACCACCCGCAGGCTACACAGGCCCAGACTTTGGACATGATGCCGGTCATTATACTGGTCCTGATTTTACTTCGGGGATCGGTCAGGGGCAGCAGACTTCTTATTCCGCCTATACCCCAAGCGAGAGCACAAGATATGAACCGAATGGGATGAATGAGCCTCTGGAGCTGGATACAACCTACAGTAACACGCTGCCACCGCCGAGCTCGACTGCGCAGCACACGGGATTTCCACCACAACATGCACCTAGTGTCCTGCAGGCAGGACGGAGGCCAGGAGCGAGTTCGAATGATCCATGGAGGGACGTTTGAGGACTTATTCTCAGGTTTCCCCTATATCTTCCATCTGATTGCTGCGGAGGAGAGGTTTCCCTGACATGTACACTACTAAATTTCACGAGCTCATGGAGTTTCAATGCAGAACATGGGTTGCCACAGTGCACAGTCCATTTTATCCGCTTATCAATCTATTAAGAATACAAGTCCCAGCAATGACAACCTCTCAATAGGTAAGTCTGTAGAAGCAAAATTGCCTGAGGGCCCAGTCAAGCAGCCCTTTCGCCCACCCACAGGAAAGTTTTCCTGCGATTCACCTGGCATTAATAAGAATTTGGTGGGAACGGCTCGATCCTTTCGCGATTTCTACATTCTATCTTCATTGTTGTACTGTGTTTGTCGTTGAAAGAAGCGGTGGTGGATGAAGATGATTTAGGTGCTGGCTGGCTCCTCTGGTCGAGTGGTGGCGACAGAGAGCGAAGGTTGAAGGAGCGGCATAAATGGGTGGGAGACTGGGTCGTCGTGATATGTTGATGACGGAAGTCGAGGGATTCGAGGGTGTTTGCTTTTGCTGAGAGTCGGTTTCTCCCTTTCCCATGCAACTTTGCTGCCAGTACGCAGACTGTGATCACAGGTTTTCGGTATCAAGATCGAGTTTCCTGCTCTATATACGCAAACTGTGTCTTCACATCAAGCACGGTCGAAGATGGACCGCAAGAATCTTAAGGCAACGCTGGGGGGTACCTAGCTTTCCTCTAATGAGAAATCAAACTTCTTGAATGCATCCTTGAACCTCTCCGCGTCCTTCTTCTCCTCAGCATCACTTTGCGTGCAGTCCTTCCAATGCATGCGCGCTTCCAAGCCCAATAGCTTCGCCATCACCCTCCTGCCAAACTGCAAATCAAAGCGAAATTCCGCTGATAGTGGCAGCACAAGTTCCTTCTCTTCTCCCTTCTTCTCCTCTCCATCCCCATCGTTGGCACCCCCACCGTTAAGAGTGGACTCTGCACCCTCCTCAAGACGCCAGATCCATACACGGAAATAGTCACCCCTCTCCGCTGTGCCGTCTCCTATCGCTTTTGTCTTCAGAGTGGGATACTTTTCGTTCTCGGCCTCAACTTTGAAAGCTGCTTCCACAAGACCCTTCTTTATCAGATCGGCGGGTACGGGCAGGAACTGCCAGTGGATGTGAATGCCTTCTGCGCGGCTAACTTCCCAAGTCACTGCACCCAAAACGCCTTTGCTGGTGGAAAGGAGAAGGGAATGCAAAGCGTTGCGGTAGCGTTGCATTTCTTTGTATGTTGAGATCTTTGTTTCAGGTGGCGTGATACTTGACAATGTGGGAGAATGTGACAGAGGGATTATAAGCATGTGGGCAGGAAAATTGAGGGTGGGATAGGTAGTAGGGGTGCTGAGAGGTCCTTTTGCAGTGGTGATGTAGGCATCTTCTGCGATAGAGGCGATGAGGTGAGTTGCAAGATTGGGGTTTGAGAGACAGAAGAAGCATTCCTGAGGTCCCGGTGGTGGAGCTTTGTGACGAGCTCGCTTGTTTGGGTGGTGGTGATTCTGGTGGCCGTTGTCATGATTGAAGCGTGAGTAAGCCTGGATTTGATCTGGGAGACGTTGACGCTTCCTTGAGGTGTCGGTGAAGGGAGTTGCTGTTGTACCCGAAGGCATTGTGAGGGGTGGTGCGGCGTTCGGATCTATGGTGAAAGCATATAGCCACTTTTGCTTCGCAGGGTTGTCGTAGGCGGCGAGACTGATGAAGCGAGTTATAGATGAAGTGTCAGGCTGATCCTCTTTTGTTATGTGGAAGAACGGTTCACGCTCGTAGAACATGGAGTCGGAGGTGCTGAAGTGGTAGCGAGGTTTCAGGGCTGAACAGAGCTCGGCGATACACTGCTCCGCCTTCGCTAATGATAATGACTCCTCTGCACCTTCTGGGAGTTCGATGTTGGATCTTGAATGGACTGATGTTGGCCAGTTACTCGTGACAAGTATATCTGCGGTGTTTGCGCCATGAAGCGCTTTGGCGTCGCCCTCAGCGTAGAAGGGCAAGTGCTTGTCTTTTGACAAACCAGTGGTTATTTCTGGGTCCAAGGACCCTCCGAGATTCACTATTCGTATTCCTTCAGAAGTCTTCGTGGTCGCACGTTTGCCTAAAAAGTAAAGATTCGGACAAATTTCGTCATCTGATCTTTCGAGTTTGTCCACTATTTGCTGAGGTAGCGGATGTTTTCCAAGCGTAAAATATGTCGGCAAGGGGATGGTGATTCTACCATTTAGAAGAGACGTGAGATTATCTCCACCTTCCGAGGATCCTTCAGTATGCTCGGGGAAAAGATCTCCTACGACTATAGCAAGTGAGAAGGCGTTCTTTGCATGTAGCTTCGATATCTTCCCGAAAACTTCTGTGAACCGTCCGTGCACAGAGCCCGTAACGATGCTAAACAGCTATCAGTTTGCATCACCATAGTATGCATACTAGTAATACAAAGACTTCATTTCGTAAATCACTACGCATGTGCAAATGGAAGAATACATGGACATCTCGATTGAAAAACTTGTGGAATTAATCTTTTTCCTCAGGGAAAAAGTAACAGAGAGTTTACAATGTACTTACATTTTGGAGGTCATAATTGGTCTACTAGGTTTCAATTTGAAAGCAGGAGTGTTCGGGCTCTCATGGATCTTCTGTGACTTCGAAGGTGAACCCATGAGATGAACCCAATCAGGAAGAACACAGATATTGGAAATACGCGCTAGGGAAAAAGTTAATCCAGACCCCGGATGGTCTCGAGAAATCACGAACTTTTTCCCGAGATACAAATCTGGGCTCTCTCGCTCTGGGCAAAGCACGAAGTCCTATTTTCTCGAGGTTAGACGGGAAATATGGCAGCCATGTCTTCAGGAATTCAGGCGCGCTCCAAAAAGCTGGTGAAAAGAGGGACTACATCAATGCGGAAGCACCGTTTCGAGTCGTTCAACCAGCGCATCTCAAAGCTCAGCATCGATCCCATAAGGAGGAGCCGCCGCAACGAAGTGGAAGCCGACGATCTCACAGATTTGGCCTCCTTCTTCAAGGCTTCACTGGACCGATGGAAAGACCTCAACCTCTCCGAAAGTTTCACATCGTTTGTTCGAGAAGTTGAACCGATCTGTAACAGCTTGGCTCAGATCCTCCACTACCACCAACGTGTGTTCGATATCCTAGTAGATTACATTGGGAAGAGAGATCCACTCTCGCTGGAGCCGCTGCTGGATCTTTTGAGCAACTTCGCACATGATCTAGGCGTACGGTTCGAAGGGCACTTCTTGAAAGCCGTGACACTGGTGGCTTCTCTGGCCGCAAAGCATGCAGATGTTGAGGCTATTGAATGGAGCTTCACATGCCTGGCATGGCTGTTCAAGTACCTCTCACGGTTACTGGTACCCAATTTGAGACCTCTGTTCGATATAATGGCGCCATTGCTGGGAAGAGAACCACAAAAAATTCATACGACAAGATTTGCTGCTGAGGCTATGTCCTTCTTGATCAGGAAAGCTGCGATCGTGTATGCCAAGGATGCCAAACCTTTGACCATCGTTGTGAACGCCATTCGTGACGATGTTTTACAAGCGTCTAAGTCGGGATTCAAAAAAAGCAATGTCCAGTTGTATCAGCATGGTCTGATGACGCTACTGGTCACCTCGATCAAAGGCATTGAGCGAAAGCTACATTCTGGCGGAGCGCACATCTACCGTTGCATGCTTGACCGCCAATTCGCAGATGACAATGACCCGAGCACGGGCTTTAAAGAGATTGTGTATGGGGTCACGGTAGCTTTGATACACCAAACCGACTCGGTCAACTTTCAACCGATATTGGACATCGTGCTTGAAAATCTTCAGAGACTTAAACCCGATTCCAGCAAGAGCAGCGTTACTGTTTGTGGACGCCTACTCTTCGTAGTCTCTACGGTGCGGAAAGGGTCCAGAATCCAAGATTGGATGCCAGTGTTGAATGCTATGTTAGCCTTGCTCGAACTCTGTGAGCCGTCAGACGAGGAACCTCTTGCGGAGACCTACAAAGCGTCTGCTGTGATCCTTCAATATTCCCCACTAGAATTGGTCCTGCCCAAGGTTCGTCAGGCAATGAAGATCGTTGCAGATGATCGTTTTGCACGAAACTTCTTGCCTTTCTGCAACTACTTCTTTGATCTGGGTCACGATCGCTTCCAAGACTTCCTTAGACCCCACTTCTCTAGATTCATTGCTTCCAACTGGAAAGACCACGAACTCGAGCTATGTTTAACAGTGCCCAAGATCGGACAGGCTAACAACTGCAACAAATTTCCCTGCCCTGCACCATGGCAGGAACATATTGTCAAGACGTTCGAAGACGCAGTCGATAAGGAAGATCCGGCCGTCCGATGTTCCAGCTATCTTCAATTACTCGACTTCATGATGGTTAGCCCTGGTACTAGGGACAAGGTTATGGAAAGCGTAAGCGACATGGTCCATCAGAATTTGCAGTTGTCCTCAAGTGGTAGCCTTCGGAAGGTGTTCAGCCTTGGCCAAGGGCTGAAAGCATACGTACAATACACTTCCGACCTTGGGTCTCGTCTTGCCAAGAGCTGGCCCTTGATGTGCAGCCAGGCCGTTAACCACGGAACTCTTGCGCCATTCCTTGAAGCCATCTTGCTTCTTGTCAAGGCCAACGGTTTGCAGAACTGCAATAATGACTCGTTGACTCAGGTGCTGATAGAGAATCTTCACTCGTCCTCTCACACATTACGCAATATCTCACTACAGATATTGGACGCGCTGTACGCGGAAAAACATGGTGAAAAGGCAGATATCCTTACCACAGCATTGACGATCGAAAACAGTCCGCTAGATCTACAATCAGCTCGTTCTATATCGATGCATGCTCGCAGGCTATCAGCACAGTATGAAGCCGCGTCGTCAGATGAATGGCTGCAGAAAGCCATCCCCCATTTCTGTTTCGGCATGCTCACATTCAAACTCTCCCAAGCCTGGGATGATGCGATCGTTGCACTAAAACAGATATGTGAAACGAAGACAGGGGAAGATGCCGTTTCTGCACTAGCTTTCGAGTGGCTGCAAGAGCGTGCCCTGGAACATGGGAGTACTAATGTGTCAACTCTCCCACCAATGGAACAAGGCTCCTTGACTGACTTTCAGTGCTCAAATCTCATGCAAGTGGAGCAACTCATAGATCGTGCAACGATTGAGATTGCGACGGCTGCTGAGAAGTCAAGACGCCAATTTCTTGCTACTCATATTTTGTCACCGCAACATGCTCCCAACGCACCCAGTCTAGCTCTTCGTGTGTTATTAGCAATCCCCCATGTCGCAGAGAAGCGATCAAGGCAGCTCGTACCCCTTTTTCTGTCATGGGCCGCCGAGGAGCTGGATCAAGATCCTGAGAGCCCTGTGGAAGACACAGAAGCTTCAACGATTGCGAGGGGAAATCCAACTTCTTCAAGACTTAAGCGGAAAGACCAGAAAGCGATGCTGGATCTCTTTGGCTGTTTCCATAACCCCAAAGTTCTCTATCGATCTTCCAATGTGTTTCTGGCACTGCAAAGCCTGCTGACCAATGGGGACGCTGAGGTCCAGAAATCTGCCCTCAAGGCTCTGCTCACATGGAAGACTCAGGGCATACAACTCTATCAAGAGAACCTGCTAAATCTGCTAGATGATGCCAGATTCCGGGACGAGATATCTACATTTGTGCACGTGGATGCTCAGAACAGCGTCATACAAGAGGACCATCTTCCCGAGCTGATGCCAGTGATGTTGAGGCTGCTTTATGGTAGAATGATTGCAGGATCTGGCGCGAGCAGTGGTAGTAGAGGACAATCTGGGAGAAGGAAGACTGTCCTCGAGGCTCTCTCCCGGCTAGATGAGATATATCTCCAGGACTTCATTAGCATTGCTCTTGACCGTTTACGCGACGTTAGATCTGTGGAAGGCACCCAATTGAACGAAGAGCTGTTTGGCACAGAAATCATAAGCATTCGAAAACAATTAGGGTTGGTCAATATGATAAAGGACATGCTCGAGATTATCGGCGATCGTCTCGCGCCCTTCGCCAAAAGCCTAACTCAAGCCTTGTTGTATTGCTTAGTCTGGGCCTCCCGACGGCTCGGACTTGAGAAGGGCGCAACGGACCAAGTTTCCGAGGGTGTTTCGCAGATCTCATTGTCAAAGGCTGTCCGACAAATTGGCGTGCAATGCCTAACTCTACTATTCCGATGCTGTCCGGCTGAGACGCTCCGGCCCTATCTATCCACAATTTTCTCGGAGCTACTGAGCCCAAGACTAGATGCATTGCCCATTGAAACAGCTCAATCGGTTTCTGGTACACTACAGCTCTTCTCGACTTGGGCTTCGTCCAAAAATACCGTATTATTTTTAGTAGACTATGATGCAAGAGCAATGAAGTCGGTCATTGACTGTCTGGATGTTCCTTCAGCAAAAGACCAGGTCAAGCTGTTTGTCATTGAAGAAATTCTTGGGAAGATCGTCGCGCTCGCTAGGCCATCGATCACTGAAGACCTGGAGATGGACAATTCCTCTGGCTCCAGTAGTGAGCTCATAGCACAAGACGTCTTACGTCCGAACGCGCACAATATGCTTGATCGAATGGGAAGCCTACTACGCAAAAGCCCCAGTAAAGATCTTTTGGTTGCCGCAATCCAGCTTGTTTCTGCGCTTGCGCCTCTGGTCGAGGGTTCCTCTCAAGTGGACAACCTACTGGAGATCTGCACATTCCTGCTCGATCAACCCTCACATCGAGTCAACCCTAGGTCCAAAGGCGAGCTTCTCCAGATAGTTCAGCATTTTATCCCCTTGATTGGCTCCGCCCTCTCCTCAGATCTGCAATATTGGATCTTCTGCACGATTTCTTCTCTATTCGGATATTTCAAGGATAGGGCAAATCGTTTGATCCTCTCGAAAGTTTTGTCCGTCCTGGCAGAGCAAGGTGGCGAGCTGCAAGATATTGCACGACTGTGCACTAGTCTAAACTCCTTCTCCCCAAGGAAGATCGACGAGCCTGACTTTGATGAACGCCTGAAGGCTTTCAATGCCATCAATGAGATAAGGTACCGCGACTTCACTCCAAAGCAGTGGCGTCCGATCCTGTTCAATATGCTTTTCTACGTCAAGGACAATGAAGAACTGGCAATACGATCCAATGCGTCCTTTGCACTCCGTCGGTTCGTGGAGATGAACGTCGTTTCTTCAGACGCTGCAGAGACTGAGTCCTCAGATTTGACCAGAACGGTACTCTTGCCGGCTCTCCGCAATGGCGTCTCAGAACCATCTGAATTAGTTCGCACTGAGTACCTCAGCATTACAGCTCATCTCATTCGTCACAATCCGGAATGGCAGGAGGTCAGTGACATGTCCGCTCTACTTGTGAACCATGACGAGGACGCTTCGTTCTTTGGCAACATCCTCCACATCCAGCAACATAGGCGTCTCCGGGCCTTGCGCCGCTTAGCCACAGAAGCACGCCAAGGAGGTCTTCGGAGTGTCAACGTAGCTCACTTCTTCATACCCCTGATTGAGCATTTCGTCTTCGACAAGGGCGAGGACGAAGGCGCCAACAATCTCAGCGCGGAGACGGTCGTGACGATTGGTGCACTAGCTTCGTCGCTTGAGTGGCCCCAATTTAGGGCTATGTTTCGAAGATTTAGTGGCTACATCAAAAGCAAGCCAGATATAGAGAAAACGGTAATCAAGCTACTGGGCGTAGTCATTGATGCCCTTAGCCTGGCAGCGGCGGACAAGGAGAGAGCGTTGACCACTTTCGGTGAACCGGATACTGACAATCCGGAACCACCAGCATCTGTCCACAACGGCAGCACGCTTGCTGTTACGATGCCGAGGCAGGAGAACCTCGCTGGTGAGCTGACAGACAATCTACTGCCGTCACTCGAGAAGTATCTTCATGACAAGGACGAGTCTACGGTCAGCCTTCGTGTCCCTGTCGCAGTCTCAGTCGTCAAATTACTGAAGCTCTTACCTCATGGTGGGCTGAAATACCGATTGCCGCCTGTTCTTACGGATGTTTGTCACATCCTCCGCAGCCGAGCACAAGAGTCGAGAGACTTAACTCGTAAAACCTTGGTGGAGATATCGATTCTGATAGGTCCTCAATACCTTGGCTTCGTCATGAAAGAGTTGCGGAGTGCTCTCGCAAGAGGGTACCAATTGCATGTTTTGTCTTTTACGGTGCATTCAATATTGGTGGCCACATCTTCGATATTCAAGATAGGCGATTTGGACTATTGTCTCCCACAGATTATCTCAGTAGTCATGGACGACATTTTCGGGGCTACGGGGCTGGAAAAGGATGCAGAAGAATACATAAGCAAGATGAAAGAGGTAAAAAGCAGCAAAAGCTACGATTCACTGGAGCTTGTGGCAAAGAATACGACGGTGGAGAACTTTGTGCATCTCATCCGCCCATTGCAGACCCTGCTAGGGGAAAAGCTGGATCTGCGGATGGTGAAGAAAATCGATGAGCTGCTGAGACGCATCGGAGTTGGCCTTCTTCGCAATGAAGCCATCCAAGATCGCCGGGTACTCGTCTTCTGTCACGAAATCATAGCAGAAGTATACAAGACAGGACAAACCCCGAGCGGCAGGCAATCGAAAGAGGATCACAGTACCAAACGCTTCTTGATCAATTATAAAGGAGCAAACAAGGCTGGCTCCCGCGGTAGTACTTCGTCGTACAACTACAAGCTTGCTAAGTTCTCCCTTGATGTGCTTCGAATGGTGCTACATAAGCATGATGCTCTTCAGACGCCGTCAAATCTAGCAGGCTTCATTCCTATCATCGGCGATGGCATTGTCCAATCCAACGAAGAGGTCCAAATCTCCACCCTTCGTTTGCTCACTACGATCATCAAGGTGCCTCTGAAGGCTATAGACGACAGTGCAGCCATATATGTTGCCGAGTGCGTGAGACTAGTCAAAATCTCGACATCGACAAACGTAGAGCTAGCACAAGCAGCATTGAAGCTCGTATCCGCTATCCTGCGGGAGCGAAGAACGATCGAAATCAGAGAGACAGATCTAGCCTACCTTCTCAAACGCCTCATTCCGGACCTGGAAGAGCCTGATAAGCAGGGAGTAGCTTTCAACTTCCTGAAGGCCACTATGACTCGCAAAATCGTGATCACGGAGGTCTATGAAGTACTCGACGCTGTCGCTGTCATCATGGTCACCAATCAAACCCGAGGCGCGCGTGATATGGCCCGAGGCGCATACTTCCAATTCGTCATGGAATATCCCCAAAGCAAGGATCGCTTTTCCAAGCAGCTCAGCTTCCTCGTCCGAAACCTTGACTACAAACACCAGGAAGGTCGTCAGTCAGTCATGGAAGCCGTTCACCTCCTGTTCACCAAATTAGGAGAAGACTTGGTGCAAGAAGTCGTTGGAACTTTCTTCGTCCCCTTAGTCATGGTAACAGTCAACGACGAGTCCAGCGAGTGCCGAGAAATGGCTGGAGTCCTACTGAAGAAGACTTTCGAGCGAGCGGACAGCGAGCGCACCCAATCGTTCCTCAGCTTACTTCGTTCCTGGCTGGGTCAGTTCGACGAGACTCTTCTGAACAGGGTCGCGCTCCAGGTGTATTGCTTGTATCTTGATACGAATGGTGCAAAAGGCGAGAAGGAGATCCCGCCCCTCCAGGCTCGACTGACGCAGATCCTCAAAAGCAATCTCAAAGCTCCTTCCGAGGCCGACTGGGAGCTGTTATACTTCGCTTTGCAGGCATTTGCCAAGATATGCCAATTGTTCTCAGCCTCAACCCTCGCTGCAAGCACGGCTCCTCTATGGGCGAGTGTGCGTCAATGTCTTTTCTTCCCCCACGCTTGGGTCAAGCTGTCGGCTGCCAAACTGTTGGGTGCATATTTTGCGGACTTCGCCAGGAATAACGTCGGCAATGAAGCTCTTTCATTACCACTTGAGGGCTCAGGTGGTCTGTGGCTCAGCGAACAGGAGATCATAGGAGTCACGCGAGCTTCCCTAGGCTTGCTAAGAGTGCCCGGCGTGAGCGGAGAGCTCGCTAACCAAAGTGTACGAAATCTAGTCTTCCTCGGCAAGATCATGGCACAGACATCTATGCTCTGGCCACAGAAAGATCAACAGCTTGAAGCAGAAACCATCGAAGATGAAGGATCCGAAGACGAAAATGGCCTAGAAGAAGAAGACTTATCTACATCTACGACCATACTAGCACTTGGCTACCTCATCCAACGCGCCTCCTCCCTCCTCCGCCGTGGTCCCCTCACAACCCGCTCCCCTTCTTTAATCCCTCTCCACGCCTGCCTCACCCTCCTCGGCGCACTCACCAACAACGTACCCCTCCCAACCCTAAAGCCCCATATCCCAGCCATCCTCCTCCCTCTCCACAACCTCACGGATCCCGCTATTCCTACCCCTTTTTCCTCCGACACGGCCTTCACGGGCGGCTACAAAACGCTCGTCAGCAACAGCCAAGAACTGATGGCGTTGCTGCAGAAGAAGCTGGGAACGACCGGGTATGTGACAATATTGCAAAGAGTGAGAGAGGGGGTCAAGGAGAGGAGAGAGGGGAGAAGGGTGAAGAGGAGGATTGGGGCGGTGGCGGAGCCGGAGAGGGAGGGCGAGAGGAAGAGGAGGAAAGGGGTAAGGAAGAAGGAGAGGAGGAAGGAGAGGGGTGGGGAGGAGAGGGGGAGGAGGAGGGGTTGGTGATGATGGAGTAAAATATGACTGGCTGATTTTGCATAGCGAGAGGAGTATGGGAAAAGAGAAGCTGCATGTATGATCTTATGCTGCAATGTGTGATGAAATTGTAGATACCACAAGGCTGGCTAGTGCAGTCAGATTTTTGGCATCAGAGATTGCCCCATTCAGTATTATCCATTGATTTTACTATTTACTTGATATCATGGTCGGCTACCCAGCAGCGATATTGACTATCAGGCCCTGAATACCTTCAATGCCTTTCAAGATATCCACAATCTTTGAACCCCGACGGCACTACTAGCTCAATCCACCTTCGTTGGAGATATAAGACAGACCGATACATACGTTGGTCGTCCATGGCAGGGGCCAAACCTAACTCGTTCGGTTCCCTTCCATATACTTGTTCACAATTCCATTGCAATACTGATTCACAATCCTTCGTTCGTATCGAGTTGATGTTGAATCTGGTATAAATCATCCTCCCTTCCTGGGTCCTCCGGAGAAAGTTGGAATGGCAGGAACGGCCGGTATGACAGGCTTGGGTACCTTGGGCTCGCGCTGCGCAAGTTTCTTGCGTTCGTTCTCGAGCTATAGGTATCACTTGATTAGCAACACTGGACCACAATAGCAGGCAACTCGCAAACATTGCTTTCCTATTCTGCGAGCAGAAAAAAATTACTCACCACCTTTTTCACCCTAGCCAACGCCGACCCAGCCTCTTTCCCTGCCCTACAGTCCTCACTTCTATACCCTGGGCCCTTGACGACAACCTGATCCATGACCACAATATCCTTCCCATCCCACCTTGTCGGCAACATCCTGCTGATCGCATCGAATATCTCCTGCGCTTCTTTACTGACATTCCTATTGACCCTGCTAGCTTTTTCGTGGGCGCGCTGCAGAGCGGCTGCTGCGCGGGCGTGGAGGGCCGTTGTAGAGAGGTACGGTGGGAGCGCTGGAACTGACGGGGGTGGGGAGAGGATGGTGAGCGTTGTTATCGATGGGAGGGCGAGGAGGTGATGGATTGTGTTTGGGGGAGTGGTGGAGAGGGCGACGATGTGGGTGAGGGGGCAAATAGTGTAGAGGGTGCCTTCGAGGGTGGGATGCGCGGGGACGGTGGTTTGGAGGCGAACTCTGTGGGGAGGGTGGTTAGCTTGAGCAATGGTGGCTGAAAAGGCGGAGCATGGAAGAGTATAGACGGCGGCATAATGGGCATTGCATAAGAATTGTATGCTCGAAGAAGAGGCGGCATCAAGTAGTACTTACTTTCCACCAATAGCTCCACTCATCGCAGTCTCGAGCGCTACGAGCTGGCCAACATTAGGCGTCGCAACCGGAGCTTTTCCTGCTGCATTATTCTGGCGCTTCGTACTCTCGGCCATGCTCACACGGGTGTGCTCTGGGTATTGATGTCTTCCAAAATGCTATCAAAGACGCATTGCCGAAGGCGGGTACTTCTCTCGGATATAAAATGGATGATGAGGCTTCTAACTTCTGAAAGCCGGGCGCCCTGCCAAATGCGACGCCAGAGACAGCACCAAAGGCAAAGGAGTGACGATGAAGTAAAGGAAAGGAAGGGGTGGAGAAGGCGTGGAGAAGGTGAATTATTAGGATATCGTGCACTCCCCACACCTCTCCTTCACTTGCTGCAGAGCGTCTCGAAGATGTAAGGGAGGAAGATGAGAAGATTGGCGCCTCACTCTCCAGATTTGCTTCGGAGCAATGGCGGGCGCTTCCGGCGCTTGCGCAAGTCATGAATAAGTATGTACTTTATGAGACCAAAATACTTTACGGTACCACGGAGACTTGGAAGTAAGGTATGGTAAGATACTTTACAGTATGGCACGGAAACAGTATCTCACTTCAAGACCTTCTGCACCTGTATTGCTCTAGCTTCGGCTTGTGGAGCGCGCTACTCTAGCCCCTGCAGGCTCAAAGGGTCTGCGAGGCCGAACACTTCATCACAGCCAATATATCACCATTGCCCCAACGCCCCAATGCCATCTCACTCCACGCTAAATGCTTGATAGAAACGATTTCATCGCATTATATCATAGCTGTAAGAAGCATTGGGATATCTCATGCCAAATACCGATACGCTGCTGGCTCTCGGTCCTCAATTCGCTCCAGATACTCCCTCTCTATAAGACTTTCAACTCGCTTCTTTACCATGTTGACATCTGGCATAAATCTTGCTGTCAGTTGCTGGATCACTTCGGCGATTAGCTTCTGATGGGACAATTCTTTGCGTTGCCTGTAGAGACTTGCGTCAGCGTTGTGCTCTGCCAAGACTTCTCCGTCGAGAAAGGAAAAGACTTACTTCATGATCCGCACAATAGCAGCTTCAATCACACCCCCCCGAGTGTCATTATTCTTCTTCTCTGTCTCTGAGCGCTCTTGAGAGTCCTCTACCTTATTGCCACTCGTGACCACGCCGATCTTGAACTTCTGAAATTGCGAGTAGAACGTCTCGTTAAAGTAGAACTTGTCATCAATCTTGACGTCTTTGCTCATAGGCTCCTTGCGGAGGACTCTCGTCTTCTGCGCCACACCCAACGATTGAAGATTTCGAGTCAGTTCGTTGAGGGGTATGTTCGTTCGTGCCTGAATCTCTTCCGTCGTCATGAACCCGCCTGGAGGTTGATCGTTGAACAGAAGAAGAATGACCATCGCGTACGTCGATACATTGATCTCTCTTGTCTTCTTGGCCCCTTTCATTTCTGGAAAGTAGGCTCGGAGATCTGCAGTACCCATATTTGCCTGCCAGGTAAGTTGGCGTCCGCTATGTTTGTCGAGGTAGAACTTCTCAAAGCCTTGTTTGATTCTCTCAATCTGGGGTGGGAAGATGCATCGTGGTCGATCCTCTCCGTCGTTGTAAGAGGGCGCCATAGCTTCGAGCGGCCACATCGTGCTGGTCAGAACGTTGACCTCGATTTCCGCCCTCTTTGGATCAGGATCTCCCAGTTCAGCCACGTGCCTCTTGTAGTTGGACGTGAGATCTGCGGAGACAGCCATATCTTTGAACATTGCTTCGATCCTCTGCGTAAACGTGTTCCCAACCTCCATCTTCATCTTGGATATCATCTGGCGCTCGGCATCCATGCTGATGGAGCGCTTCATCAGCAACCGTCTCGACAGATGCTTCTTGTAGTATCGTTCGAACATGTCCTTGTCCTGGATGTACCGTAGTAAAGTAATACCTTTGTCCAGGAGCAGATCAACTTCGTTCTCTGTCTTACCCTTGATGCCCTTCTTCATGTTTTCGTCGAAGAAGAGTGAGAGATACTCAGAGCTTCTCTCAAAGGCGTTTATGAAGTCCGTAAAGCTGCGCGAGAAAGCAGTTTGTAAACCTTGATCTGACTTGAAAGCTTCGGTGAGCACGTTGTCGTATCTCTCTTTCAGCTGCAAAACATCATCGACCCACTTGATGGCTGCTGTGGTTTGCTGGCTTACTGGCTTTTCTGATGCCTTTTCCTCCCCCTCAGCTTTGTCGCCGTCTTGGTCCGAGGGTTTTGGTAGAGTATGTGTTGCAGCAACGGTAGCTTTGTTCACATCGTTTCCCATCTCTAGAATGCGAGCCTGAACGGCCTTCCTCAGCTCCTCTTTCTTCGGATCGACCCTTGCGCTCAATTCGTATATTAACTCAAGCTCCAAGAGCCGCTCATTGTCCAGCATGTACTTGACGCCACTGGCCTCAAGCGCTATTACTTCCGGGAGATTTTTCTTGATGAGCTCAGTTTCGACCACGCTTTTGACCTTCGTCAAGGTCAATGGAGACAGAGTCGATCTGCATCGGTCCTCTTCTTCGTTGACTCGTTTCCTAGCATCTTTACAGAACGTCCCGGCATCTGCTTCTAATAATAGTTTGGCGCCTTCTAGGCGGTAGAATTCTTCGCTCGCTCTTAGGAATTCAGGCTCGAAGCTTGTGAGGTACAGCTTAGTAGACTCATCCTCATCTTCTGTTTCGTAAAGACCCTCTAGCATGTAGGCACAGGATTTCAGGAGTGATTTGTCGACTATATCGCCTTCTCGATCCATTTGCACTTGATCCAACATAACGGCGTTAAGGATATGGGCAATGCTAATTTGGTCATCAGGGTTGTCAGAGAGAGGAGTTCTCAGTACGTGATCGCGAAACTGCCCCATGGAGGCAGAGAATATCGACGGTTTCCGAAAATCTTTACAGTAAACACGATCCTGCCTACTAATCAGTAACACAATCCTCGTTTCACGGCCTCCTTTAAGGCTCCAGAGGCGGCGCACCATATACATCAGGACATCAGTAGTCATATTCATGCAAAGATTGTGATCCTCCCATGCTTGCTTCAGAGCTCTCAGTAACTTCTCTCCTGCAACTCTTTTCTCATTGGCTGTGGCAATCATTTGTGTTCCAGATGTTGCGAGGAGGAGGGTCTGGGAGAGCTCTTCTATGATCCTTGGTTGCACCTCCTTTGCGAGCCATTCTGCTTCGAACTCCTTCACCCTGATGTAGAGGGTCTCACCCCGCTTCTTGAGCACAAGCTTGTAGGCGTTGCGGTAGAGCTCCTCGAACGACAGCTTTGAGGCGTTCTTGGTGTGTATTTCTCGAAGTGAGGAGGCTAAGACATCCCACATCGAGTCAAAGTCAACTGCATCGCTGGTACCTAGGCCCTGCGGGTGCATAATCTTAGCCTTCATTGCCACCACGGTGATAGGAAGATGGAGTAAGATGTAAGTGGAACAAGGAAAACATGTCAATAAATGTTGGATCGAGGTAGTGTGTCAAGTAGTCAACATTGAAGTGGGTGTTGATGTGTTGACATGTGCAGAAGTGATTCCGTTAAACCTTCACTCTTCATTTGACTTACCCGTCTTGGGGGGCGTATCCTTCTCCCCCTTCCAGCAATCATGGTAAAGGTATAAAATGCTTAGGAGTACCACTCAACCCGCGTTTCCTATTGTGTGTGCTTCTTGAGGAGAAGTGGAGCCGACATGAATCCAGAAAGCTTTCACGGCGGCTGAGGAGAAAGACTTGCAAAGAAATATTAGATCTTTGGTAAAGGGAGCGTCGATTCATGAGACACCAGATGGTGGTAGAGGGTCAACTTGAGTGCACAAGGCAATCGTCAGATCATTGGAGGCAATGAATGGTACGCTGGTTCCTGGATGCATCCCCACTGTAGATCCCGAAGTTCAACCGGACGGTTAGAGAATCTGACGTTTTCAGCGGCTTTGTATGAAAGTAGTGATAATTTCTCCCTCATTTCCCATCTCAGCTGTTTAAAGACACTTACATATCCACGTCTGGACAAAAAAGCATGATGAAAGCAGACCAAATCCTCAGCATTATATTTCGGCAGCTTAGACCATCCCTGCACCAGCCACACTCCGCAAACTCACATCTCCGCCCCCTCTCCCAATTTGCGCCACTCCGCCATCCCAGCTTTCCGCGTCCATCGTGTACGCCCAAACACCGCATCGCACAACCTTCCTTTGCACTTCGCAATTGTCAGACCCGTCGAGTCTCTGACTCCACGTCCGCTCCTTCGTCAGCGGTCGCGCACTCCCCGAACTACCCTAGCAACACCCAAAGCCCCCTGGAGAAACCCCCCGCTTATGAGCTCACCTTTACATGTAAACCATGCAAGCACCGCTCTACGCATACCATTTCGAAGCAAGGGTATCATAAGGGGACGGTTTTGATCACATGCCCCGAGTGTTCGAATCGGCATGTCATTAGTGATCATCTGAAGGTAACTTTTCAAAGCCTTTGCCTGGTGGATGCGAATATGCAAAGGCGGAAGGCGATGAAGACTGACAAAACATTATAACAGATCTTTGGGGACCAACCATTTACCATCGAGGATTTGATGAGGCAGAAGGGCCAACTAGTGAAGAGAGGAACGTTAGGCGGGAAGGGAGACCTTGAGTTTTGGGACGATGGGAGTCAGACAGGCAAGGACACGCTAGAGGGGCATCAATAATGCTTGTGCATGGAATTTGAGGTGTGCATACTTGACCTGAGGTTCTCCACAATGAACCAAGGGTGTTGTGTATTAAGAAGATATCCACTAAGTTTCTCCTCGACAAAGCATTTCCAGCCCAATGTCCACCCTTTGAAAATACTCCAATAGAACATGCTGCGCTTATGGTATCGAAAGGGACTGCCACAGTACCCTACATGCCCAGACCTTCCCAAAATGTCCTGCGAAGCAGCATCCAGATAGTCGTGAAGAACAGCCAACGCCTTTCCTATCAGATCCATTCCTCGTGCCGTCACTCATTCTCACGTAAGCTCTTGATCGATCCAGCGTTCGATCCAGCTCGGACCCTGCCGCTAGGTGCATCTGCAGACAGTCTGTCTCGCCTGATTGCTTGAGGCGGCGCAAGCATGGGCTCCGTCGCACTTCCGTCTCCATCCTCATCGTCGATGGATTTTGGCTCCCTTGCGACGTCCTTCTTAGCATCTTTTCTCATCTTCGCGATCTTAATATAGTTATAGGCACCTATACTAAGAATGGTAACCACCAGTCCGCTGATATTGATTGGAGTCAATGGATCCTTGAAGACGATGCCTGCAGCGGCGATGGTGACAACTTCCTTGAAGATACCGCAGATGCTGAGCGTGACGACCGAGGTTCGCTGAAGAAGCGCAAATTCGGACGCGGTCATCATGAACGCAAGGCAGCCCGGGAAGATCAAAATGCAGACTCCCAAAAAGACACCCTTGGCATCGACAAGAGCCTTCAGGCCATGGGCAAGGTCCACGAAGCCCTCGACAGGAATGGCTATGACGGCCAAGCTAACGAACATGACAGGTGCGAGGAAGAAGATACTGCTGAAAGGATTGCTCGTCGCGGGATTTTTGAGCAACAGAATTTGAGTGAGCGCCCAGCGAAAGCCCGAGAAGAAAGCAGCTAAGATAACAAGGATGAAGCCGAGAACGTTAAAAGCCGTTTCACCGGCCACCATCATAATGACGCCTATTGTCATTGTAGTGATGATAAAGACCAGTTTGATGGAAGGGTCTTCGAGGCGGAAGAGGAAGGCGAAGGCGAGAACGAAGGCTAGAGAAGAGGACTTGCACATTGCTAAGAGGTGAGTTGTCAGCGTAGATGTAGCAGTGGCCCTTGACAAACATACTGTAGAAAGTGAGAGTAATGAACTTCAGGCTCATGTTGCCCAGCCCAATATCAAGGCCTGTAGCGGCTCCGCAAGGACCCACCCGGGTGAAATAGAATATCTTGGTCATAAGAGGCTTCTCCGTCTGTGACGGATCCTGACGTCGGACATGATAGTGGTTTTGAGGATTCGATATGCTATCGGTTCGAGGTCGGAGTCGTGGAACGAACCACAGGACGAGGCTGGCTAGGCAGAATTGGACGAGCATATGCAGACAGGTAGTGAAGAGAGGAAAATGGAAATCCAGGTACTTTTCCGAAAACATCCATTTGTTATACTAGGAAGCAGTCAGCAAAGATGGGGTTGGAGGAGCTCTATGTCTTCACTTACGATAGAGATTGAAAGCGAGAAGGCGTACCACGAAGCTACGAGCAGAGCGTTGATAAGCCACGCCTTATATAACTCGCTGTTTGTGAGTATCTTATTCGGCTTCGACGTCTTGACGTTACTAGCAAATCTCTCGTCCATCCTTACGGCCTTCCTTCGCGTTCTCTTCCTATGCTTTTTATCTTTCTTCGTCATACCCGTCTCGGCGTCATCACTGAAAGGATCTTCCCCAGTCAGATGGTCGAGTTCAAAGTCTTCGCTTGTGGTTCGAGAAGAGAAATCCGAGCCATGGCCCTCATCTGAGGAGTACACCGATTGCTTGTTTCCTTCGTCAGGGGCTCCTGAAGCCTTTCGATGGCGATGAACATGCTTCTTGCTGGAACTTTTCCTCCTCGCACTCCCATTCTCCAGTCCGTCCATTAATTGAGCCCTGCGTCGCCGATATCCATCTCCAGCACCGTCCATGTCAGAGGAAAGCAGGTTAGCATCAACGTCCGTATCAGCGGCGGAATCTTGGTTGTCTATACTTGATCTGGGTGACGACGTTGCCTTGTCGGATAATCTGGAGATCTGTTCTGTCGGATGGTGGTATCCTGCTTGCTCTTCTTCCTCGCCTTGGGTTTCCTTATCGGGGTCCATAGAGGTCCATCCGTCGAGCGCTCTTAGGAGCACGAGCTACAGTAGCATAGCCTTCCTCGCTCTCAATTAAGGGACTCTCACCGGTGTCCTGGTTGACACAGCGAATGATGTTGAGGAACCCGATAGTTCTGTACGGCTCTGTTGTCTTTGCATCTATAGGCAGTATCGTCCAATGACAGGTCAGAGTGGCACGAGTGGCCAGTGGCTATGTAGGGCAAGGCAATTAGCGTGTGCACAAAGATCTGCAACTCTTGGCACGCGGAGAAAATCGCACGCAGAGCTATCAATTACCTATAAACCCCGTGTAGAGCTACCACCACGTACCGTAGTTCACGTATACAGGTCCTATCCTGAAGATACCCAGTCTCATCTATCCTACGACTTGCCCCCACATCCAGAAACCTCGGTCTTAGACTATTTTTAAGACTATTCTGAGGCTTGGTGGAACATCTAGAAATAATTACATTTTCAACGCTTTCCAATAACTTCATCTTAGGAATAAATTACAGTGTAGATTGAATTGAGTATGTTTAGTATGAAGACAAAGACATTGTTATTACAATATGTGACGATATCTCTATAAGGGTTTAGAGGTGGTTGGCAGGATCCAAGGATCCAACATTCACAGTGCTCAATTTTCAGGTATCGGTTTATTGGTAAGATCATTGTGTTGAATGTTAGGAAGTGGATAGACGAGTTCATGTCTTTCGTCATTCACGGCTTTCACAGATGCATTTGTGTTCTGGTCTAAGTAAGAGCATCCATGTGCATACTGTGAGGAAGCAGGCCTCTCTTCCATTTTCTTTCGTCAATAATGACTTGTACCATGATGATGGTGAATTGAAGGTACCCTATGCTTGGTAGGTGGACGCCGACACGTCGCCGCCTCTGCCGGTCCAATTGACGTGGTTATCCTTACCTTCAGGATACTTCTCGCTGGCATGGTCGGGCTTGATCCTGAATGTGTGGGCACCAAAGTAATCTCTCTGCGCCTGCAAAAGATTTGCTGGGAGGTCCTTCGTGCGGTACCCATCATACCAGCTAAGAGCAGTGCTGAAAGCGGGTGTAGGTATACCCCACAACGCGCCCTTGCTGACAATGTCCCTCCAGCCGTCTTGAGCCTTGTGGATGGCTTTGTTGAAGAAGTCGTCGAATAACAAGTTCTCAAGGTCTGGGTTCTTACGGTATGCAGAAGTAATGTCCTTCAAGAACACTGATCGGATAATGCAGCCACCACGCCACATAAGTGCAATTGAAGGTTTGTTGAGCTTCCACTTGTATTCTTGGGCAGCCTACACTTGAGGTGAGTATCGCAGCTAACGGGGTGCTGTACAAGAGACGGAAAAGACGTACGTTCTGTATCAACATGAAACCTTGAGCATAGGAGATGATCTTCGAGGCGTACAAAGCTTGCTCGAGGTCGGCGAGGAACTTTTTCTTGTCTCCATCGAATTTAGGTGTCGGGCCGGCAAGTACTCCTGCCGCACGGCCACGCTCTTGCTTGAGAGAGCTCAGGCACCTTGCGAAGACAGCCTCGCCAATCAAGGTCACGGGCATACCAAGGTCCAAAGCGTTGATTGCTGTCCATTTGCCTGTACCCTTCTGGCCCGCGGAATCCAGAATCTTTTCCACCAATGGTGTACCGTCGTCATCGTCATATCGGAGAACGTCACGGGTTATCTCAATGAGGAAAGAATCGAGGACACCTTTGTTCCATTCCGCAAACACATCCGCCATCTCTTTCGCAGAGAGGCCCAAGCCGCGCTTCATGATGTCGTATGCCTATACTTCGCGTAAGCTTACCAGAGGCGAACAATCGATGTCGGGTCATCATACCTCGCAAATCAGTTGCATGTCTCCGTATTCGATGCCGTTGTGGACCATCTTGACATAATGACCAGCACCCTGGTCGCCTACCCAGTCACAACAAGGCTCACCGTCACTCTTGGCAGAAATGGATTGAAATATATCCTTGATATAGGGCCATGCTTCCTCATTGCCACCAGGCATAAGACTGGGTCCGTAACGAGCACCTTCTTCGCCACCAGACACACCGGTGCCAACGAATCGAATACCCTTCTCGGCTAATGATCGTGTTCGGCGATTGGTGTCAGGAAAGTGAGAGTTCCCGCCGTCGATAATGATATCACCCTTTTCGACAAAAGGTAGTAGAGCGGTTATGAAGTCATCAACTGGCTTGCCGGCCATGACAAGAAGCATGATGCGACGGGGTTTCTTGAGCTTCAGCACGAACTCTTCCATGGAATGAGCTCCCTCGATGTTTTTATAATCTTTGCAGGGGCATTAGCAATGCCTTCCTTTCTCCACTTGTTGGGAGGGGGGCGCATGGACATTGACAAACCTTTTGCCTCATTGTCCATAAATCGATCGACCTTGGCCACGGTACGATTGAAAGCCACGACGTTGAATTCCTTATGATCGGCAACATTCAGGAGGAGGTTTTGACCCATAACGGCCAGACCGATGAGGCCGAAATCACCACTGGGAGTGATGGGCGCAGGTCCGCCGACATTGATGCCGGCCAGACGGGCGCTACAGTCAGCCCAGAATTCTCATCAACATGGTTCAGCGTTGCGAGAGACTGTCATGACTGGTGTATCTCCAAGGATCGAGTGTTAAAGAGCAACTACTCTAGTGGTACGTATGTTGGTTTGAAGCGGGGCAGGCCGGATGAAGAAGGATTGAGAGTACAAGGTCAACTTACATTGCTTTGTCCGTCATCTTGGATGTTCGAAGGATTGTCGAGTTTGTAGGTGCTGTATATTATTTGAGGGTTGAAAATTGAGGTGGTTTTTCAAGTTGTTCTCTTCAACGC